ATAATCCTGATAAGAGTGTGGTTATGATTTGCAGAACTAAGGAGGATAAACGTATAAAATTTTCAGTTTTCAAGTTGTCTAATAGGAGTCTCACTGTGTGTGCTAAAGTAAAATACCTTGGACATTTCATCACTGAACGCATGACAGACGATGAGGATATTGAAAGGCAACGCTGTATGATGTATATGCAGGCGAATATACTTTTACGTAAGTTTAGTTTCTGTTTGGATGAGGTGAAGGTGTCACTTTTTAAAGCATATTGTACAACACTTTATACTGCTCATCTGTGGTTCAACTATAGAACATCTAGTTTACAGAAGCTGCAAGTAGCTTATAATGATGCAATGAGAATTCTACTAAAGAGACCTAGATGGCATAGTGCAAGTGAAATGTTTGTGAGTGCAAGAGTAATCACTTTTAAAGCACTGTTACGAAATCTTATGTATAGATTTATCTGCCAGCTAAATGCTTCAAAAAATGAGATTATTATTATACACGGTATCAGTCAATGCTGTGGAGACATTGGTATTGTTGTATTTTGTAACTTTTTATTGTGGTGGTAGATGCTGTGGATTGTATATGTTGTCCTATTGTCTTGTTTTTTTGTTTTTTTTTTGGACCTTGAGTCTGTAATAAAGATTGATTGATTAACATAACACCTCTTTTTAGGTTGTTAAAAAGGGGCAGATGTTTCAGGGGAGATGAAATGTCTCCTGGTAAATGTGAATAATTGAACATAGCATTGGTAGAAACACTCAGCCATTTCTAGGGATTTTGTTGAGAAGAACAGGATTGGTTGGCACATGAGTTGGTTGGCACAGTTTTCATTCCATGTTGAATATCTCTGGTGGAGCAGACAGATTACACAACTGGGTTCAAATGAATGCAAAGGTTCATAAAAAAGACTTATAAATGTTAACTGAATTTGTATAATTAATGACTAAAGTTATGTTGTGTGATTTTGCCACCCATCCCCAGCAGGACTGCTTGGTGCAGGTTGAAGTACAGTGCTTAAAGAGAAGCAGCTAATAGAAAATGTAATGCTTTAAATAAATAAATGAATGAATGAATATAAATGAATTAATAATAATAACGATTTAATAATTATATTCATTGCATACATATAAATAATTATAATTTAATAATTAAATAATAAATAAATAAAATAATAAAAATAAATAAAAAACTAGCAACATATAACCCACATTTGTCATATATAATTATTTTTGTGTTTAAATATGATATTTGACTGATTTGAACATTTCCTACTTTCACTCTAAAAAATGCTGGGTTAAAAAGGGACAAACCCAGCTATTGGGTTGTTTTGACCCAGCGGTTGGGTTGTTTTGAACCCAACCGCTGGGTCAAAACAAGCTGGGTTTGCCCTTTTTTAACCCAGTGCTGGGTTATATTTAACCCAGCATTTTTTAGAGTGTTCATTTAAAATTGTTTTCATTCACTATAGGCTTTGCTCCTCTATATTACATCAAATATTTTTCTCTCAATTTTTTACATTTTAGATGAAGTGGTTAATTTTTTATTTTATATAGAAAACTTTATAAGTTGTCATCACCTTGATTAGGTTTTACCCTTTAATGATAGAATAGCTCAAGATGCAGACTTTAACACTTTGGAAACATGCTCTCTGACACTCTTAAAGATGTAAAACAGTACTGCCACTTTGTCCAGATCAATCAGATGGAAAATGGTGCTAGTTAGGAGCACTTTATGAGTAATTATTACCATGGATCAACTTTTGATACACTCTTGAAGAAAGATTAGAAAACTCAAACCTAAACATATAATTCGTAACATTAATCCATCCATCAGTTCTCCAAACTGCTTACACACATAAGACATTCAAAGGCCTTCTGGCCCAACCAGAACCATTAAAAAAAAGACTCCTTAAACAGACCAAGATGGCCGCCAATTGAATTGAATTCAAATTGAATAAAGCCAGTCTCCTTTTTCCAGATCAATCAGCTTGAACATGGTGATCCTAGTTAAGGATAATTCACTATTTTACTTTGCATACTTTGTTCTAAATTTGAAAGATGACCATCCAAGGATCAGTTTCAGACCAGGATGGCCG